ACTCTTTATGACCCCATTTGGGGTTTTCTTGGGCAAAGATACTGGAGGGGTTTGCCATTTCCTTCTCCAGCACATTTTACAGATGAGGAAACTGAGGCAAACAGGGTTAAGTGACTTGTCCAGGGTCACACAGCTAGTTAAGTGTCTGAAGCTAGATTTGATCTCAGGAGGAGGAGTCTTCCTGACTCCAGGCAAAGCACTCTATCCACTGAGCCACCTAATGCAGTGGGTATATCCTTCCAAAACCCTTGTCTTCCTTCAAGGCTCAGCTCAGGTGGCTCTTCTGAGAAGTCTTTCTTAATCTTTATTGCTACTATTCTTTCTCTCTTCAAATTATCTGGTCTCTCCTCAAATTTATCTCTGGATATACTGTCACCTTAGTGGTTTTGAGGAGGATATAAAGGCTCCTTGAGGGTAAGGGCTACTTTGTTTTCACCTTTCTATCACTGGCATCTGTCTAGCCTAGTGCCTGGCATGTAGCAAGCCCTTAACAAATGATTATTGAATGGAAATGAATAATTATAAATGAGAGAAGTCCCAGCTACAGTGTTTGACTCTCTTCTCCCTTCCTATAAACTTCCACTTTTCAGGGATTATTTCTCCATCCCATATTTCATTTCTTCAAGAGCCCATAATTTTGTAGATGTGTCTTCCCTACAAAATATAAGAATATCTCATCTTACGGAGTCCAGACCCTGATAGTATCTGTTCTATAATTTAGCAGATAATTGTCAAAAATTACTATGGGAAAAATTAATCACCTGCTATCACGTTGTTTGGATTTAGGTAGGCTAATCCTCCAATAACATGTATGTATTCCAGTTCATTACCAGATCCATACTTAAAGCCTTTACAGCTTGGTAGAGTATGCCAGAGATTATATTCTGCTGGCAGAGCCTGTGAGAATGCAGGGTCACCTAAGAGCCACACTGCAACTTCACAGGAGGACTCCTGTGGAGCTTGTATATCCAAGAAAGGGGCAAGTTACAGTTTGTAGCTTCCTTCTGTTACGAAATTCTGTGATGCAAGCCATGCTCTGGAAGTCCAATGAATGATTGTAGAAACTTTGAAATCTTAGGAAATGGGAGGTGTGACCTGTTAGGTGAAAGTGTGGTATTATGTGTTATGGGGCAAGGGACATATTTTTTCCCTACTGTCATATTTAATTTTAGATCCTGATTTCAGACTCAGAGATAGGAAATGACCTTTATAAAGCCGTTGTGAACTCAGAGCTACAGAGTGGAATTTTCCATCAGATCAAGGACTTCTGAATCATTCTGCAATAGAGGAGAAGAGAGAGGAGTAGACAGGTATACAAATGGGCTGATGACAGAGGTAGAAAAGAATGATTTTAAGTGTGCTCATATTCCACCGGGGGTCAGAATCTTCATCTATACAAAATGTAGGATATGCCTGATCACTAGGCAATTTTCCCCTGGCCAACAAGCCAAGAGGCTGATGAAGTACTTCTTTTTATTCTTCCTCGCCTTCCATCCCCCACCAAAAATAAATATTTAAATTCTATATTCCTTTTATGCTGCTTATTTGATGCTTCACATGATACTTTAAAGCTGACTTTCCCTAGATAAAGATAAGATGACTCTTAATTGCTTCTGAGTCATGTCTGTTTTTCATTGCATGCCAAAAGGATAATAGGGAAATATCCATGACTAGATTAAATACAAAGAATTCAAATAGGTCGGAGATCCTCATCTCTGGTCAGTTGTTGGGATTTGTCAAACTTGGGGCTTGTTGAACTGTGATGATTTATATTGGTAACTTGTATTCTTAAGCTCATCCAAAAAGCAGAGAGATTCCTATGGTACTGAGGACCATTGCCTCTAAGCTAAAACAAACAAACAAACAAACAAACTATGAACCCTCTAATTGTTTATGTTGTCATACTGCTTCAGATGCAGGAGTCCCAGGCAAAACATTTAGCCTTCCATGTAAGGAAGCCAGTTATGAGTTGAGAGTGGTGACCAAAAGGAAGGCTACATTCAAATCTGGCCCCTTTGTTGGAGACAGGCGTGGTAGAGGAGGATCAGCCCTATGTGTTTTTTGGGGAGGTGGTAAACCTCTCCTCAGTCAAATTCTGCTTTCTACAATGATACCTGATAGTGAAATCAAAATCTAGGTAAAATGATATCTACTGCATTTCCCTGATCTGCCCATCTACTTACTCTGAGGTTATTCTGGTCATTCTTTGTGACCACCGCATCCTCTTTCAGATATTTCTAACTATTTCTCTAATGAGATTTTTTCCTGGATATTGAAATAAAGCTCACTGGTCTACCATTTGCAGACTCTAATCTCTCTCTCTCTTTCTTGGTTTCTTTCTTCCTCCCTTTTTTCCTGAAAGTTGGAACAGAATTGCCTTTTTTCATTCTTCAAGTACCTCTCCTGTTTCCATGGTCTTTAAAAAATGATGGACAATGACCCCACAATTACATCCAATAATTCTTTCAGTTTCTTAAGATATAGTTCTTCAGGGCTTTGGGATTTGAATTCATCCAGGGCAATTAAGTACCCTTTTCCTATCTCTCTACTTGCCCTGGGCATAAACTCCTTATTAGCCATTTTTGTTTTTCTCTGTTGTAGTCTGAAGATTATCTTCCCTTGTGGAAAAAAAACAGAAGCTAAATAGCAGTTGAGCAATTTTGTCTTCTCTCTGTCCTCAATTATCACCACCTCATGCTCTCTAGTAGCAGTTCCAGCTGTTCTTTGGGCTTTTTTCCTCCCTTCCCCCCAATATAACTTTAAGAATCACTCTTTTTGTTGTTCTGAGATTTTATGAGTGACACATCTCATAGAAGTGTGTCATGCCTTTGTATCCTTCCTTTGTCACCTGCCCCTGTTTTTATCTGCTGTACATTTATTTTTTTTAAGTCCAAGTTGGTTGGTGAGCTCTCTGTGCATCCACATTAGTCTTTAGACAACTACCCCTTGTCCTCACTACTGGAATTGTTTTTCTTTGTGTCTTCAGGCTTTTATCAAAGGCTATCTTCTCCTACAGAATTTTAGACCCTGGCCGAGTGCTAATTCTTTCTTTGAACTCTTTGAATTCTTCTGCCCTAAATCTAGGATACATGCTAGACTGTGACCAGCTTTCCTCTCCTGCATCACAAATTCTAAGTCATTTTTCTCTAAAGTTCTCTTTGATTTCATCTTGGTAACAAGTTCTTCTTTGTTCATGAAAGTCAGATCCAGAATAGTAGTTCCTCTGGTTGGTTCCTTCACTTTTTGTAGGGTGAAATTATCACTAAGTTATGTCAAGAAATTCTTAGCAGCCTCTGGGCAGAGAGAGAGAAGCCACTATCGGATATCTGAAACCCCACATCAATAGCATATCATACTACCATGCCATGATCCTGATCTATTGCTTAAATTCTTTATCCATTTCCTTTTCAGTCCAGGTGATCTGTAGGATATTCTGATGACAATATAACTTTAGTTCTGGTATTCTGGTGACAATATCACTTTGGTCCTTGTCTCCACTGATTCTCACCTTAACATTTTTCACCACACTTCCATATTTCTGTTATTGGATTTCCTCATAGTTTCTTAATTACAATACCTATCTTCACCCCCTTTATCTATCTTGTTCCTTTTGAAAGAGGCTTATTTTCATAACAAGTGTCTGGTGCATGCTTAGAATGCCTCAGATGGCATGTCCACATGGAGGAGGGTAGGGAGATGCCACAAGGAGAACCTTAAAGATGTGTACGGCATGTGTCTTGGAGAAGCAGACTTTGGAGCATGAGTATATATTCTGTAACTGGTTCTGGGTGGGAAAGAGGCCTTTTGATTAGCTGGGTTGCATTCAAAGAGGGCTATTAGCTTCAGCTACTCTTTTTTTGCCTTGGTGCTACTGGGGGAGCTCAGTGAGCATTGAAGAGAGTGGATGGAACTTGTGACCTGGTAAGTTCAAAAGGCTTAGATCATTCCATTCCAGAGCAGGGTCCTCAGAATTCCATCACCCCAAAATTCAGATTTTCAGCTAGTATTGAATTCATCCAAGACAATTAAGTACCCTTTTCCTATCTCTCTACTTGACCTGGGCATAAACTCCTTATTAGCCATTTTTGTTTTCTCTGTTGTAGTCTGAAGATTATTTTCCCTTGTGGAAAAAAACCAGAAGCCAAATAGCAGTTGAGCAATTTTGTCTTCTCTCTGTCCTCAATTATCACCACCTCATGCTCTCTAGTAGCAGTTCCAGCTGTTCTTTGGGCTTTTTTGATGCTTCACATGATACTTTAAAGCTGACTTTCCCTAGATAAAGATAAGATGACTCTTAATTGCTTCTGAGTCATGTCTGTTTTTCATTGCATGCCAAAAGGATAATAGGGAAATATCCATGACTAGATTAAATACAAAGAATTCAAATAGGTTGGAGATCCTCATCTCCAACCAAATTAGGGAAGGAGTAGTGCCACTCTCAGCATCCCAGATTTCCAGAGTCTAGGTTGGTAGCCAACCAAGCTTGATGCCCTCCCTGCTTAATCCCTCAATTTTGTGCTCACAGGTTGGAAATAGGAGTTAAGGATCTTAGATTCAAGTCTTTCTTCAGTCTGACTCACTCTGTGACTTGAACACATCCCTTCCCCTCTTGGGCCCCAGATTCTTATTCTGAAAAATAGGGATATGGTGAGGGTAGGGTTCTCCTTTAGCTTCAGTATTCAATGATAGGGAAAAGCCAGGGGCCCAGATCTAGGCTGTGGTCCTCAGATGCTGGTGTTGGGGTTGGGAGGCAAGAACAAAGTGATGGGGGAGGTCTTAAGAGGTTGCACATTGTTGCTGTTGTATCTCACTCCAAACCCAGAATAAACTCAATCTTTGATCATAAACTCAGCCCTTCTTAACCTTAACCCCACACTGAGGCCATAGATCATCTTAGTCCTCACTTTAGGCTAAGTCCAAATTCTGGACTCTCTGAGTTCTCTGGGTTCAAAGGGGACACAAAGGGAATTTTAATTACTTTTATTGTTTTTCCTCTCACAACAGCCCTGTGAGGTAGGTAGGCACATCTCTGATTCAGGTAATGTGGCACCTTCACCCTAACCCCAGTTCCTCATTCTATTTTCATTTAGGGAAAACTTAATGCCTGATATGCTTCTATCCTCCCCCCTCCAAATATTGCTCATAGGATGGGTTCGAGGAAATCATGTACCTTTCATCTCCATCCCCCATCCCATCTCCAAGCCACATGGTCATGTGATGATGAGGTGATCCCATTTAAAAAGGGGGCATGATTAAAAGCTGCTCTTTTTAGTGAGGCCTCCTTTAATCAGGTCATCCACCCTAACTAGCCTTGAGGGGGGTTATCTTAAGCCTCCCAAGGATTAAAGAAGGGAAGAGGATTTGATGTTGAGTAGGACAGAGGTAGAAAAGAAGAAAGAAGGAAGTGATTATTTAATTAAAACATTAAAATTTCACAATTCCCCCATGACCTCTTCCCTCCCCCTTCCAAGTGTGGCTGTTCACCCCCAAATGGAAAATTTTTTTCTATCCTCAAGGGGCAGAAAAACAGCAGGGAAAAGATCAGCATCCCAGGTAAGAAAGCGAAGAGGAAAGGTAAAAGAGAAATGGTAATACTGGGAGTTGGCCAAGCTCATACCCAAGGATCCAGGCCACTGGACAGAGTGTCCCTTCTGGATTCCCTGCAGAAACTGGGGGAAGGAGCAAGACCCTGTCCTGTGGGCCTATTTTCCTGGGAGGAAATCTGTCCTTTGGTGTTGGAGGTTCTGTCCTGAGTGAAGAGATCTTGGGAAAGAAGACTTTAGGGAAAGTCAAGGGGGTAAGGACAAGAAAAATCTCCTCACCAGGAAGCTTGGAGGAGCACCCATAGGAGGCTGGTGGAGACACCCACCCACAGAACCCCTCGACTTATAACTAGGCTAGCAGAAGCATCTGTCTCCGCCTTCCCATTGCATCCAGAAATGGCATGTCCATCAGTTGAAATGGTGCTGTTTGGGCACATCGGGGCACAGGACTTCATCACCAGGATTTGGTTTGGGTTGATTGAGTTGACTGGAATTGGAAGAGAAGAAAGAAAAGATATGGGTGAGGTATGATAGAGCACTCTAGATTATGCTGTATGAGAGAAACTGGCATTTACCATTGGCCCAGCACTCTCCACCAAGACTCTCCTTTTTTAAAGAACCTATTCATGGTGCTACACATTCTTCTTAAATTGAATTTATTGACTCCAGAGATTCTCCTGATTAGCTCCACCTGACTGGATGCTCCTTTGTTCTGCACCCCCAAGTCATCACAACATCAGAGAATCTCAGAGTTGGAGGGAACTTCGGTGGTAGCCCAACTCAACTCACCATTCTCTGCCACAAGGGGCTATCCAGACACCACTTGGAGACTTCCAATAGTGTGGTACTCATGATTTTCTTAGGTAGCTCATGCAACTTTGGGGCAACTTCAGGGGTGGATATGCTGGTAAATGTTTAGCAATTGACTCTGAAGGGTGGGGTGGGAGGAAATGTTCACAGGGCATACTTCTAAGTTTAATTTGCGTTACTAGAATTTTTGCCATCATTTTCTTGAATCTAGACAACTAACAAAACAGTAAAGCAAACCTTGATTTATAGCAATTTGTCCCAATTTCCACCATGTGAATGTTCACACTGAAAATAGAGGATTTGGCCAGTTTTAGCTGTCCTCAGCACAACCCTGGACAGCTCCATTAGTCAGGAAGTGTTTTCTTAGGCTAAACCTTACAATATCCTCTTGCAGTAGAAGCTGATACTTGTTATGAGGAACTCTGAGAAAATGTCCAAATTTCTGGGTAGATCTACAAGCATGTGGAATCAAATGAGACTTGAAATAAGGAAGCTATTGGCCAAGCTTGGGAATCCATTAAGTATAAAGAGATTTCCATTGTTGGAATAGGAATCAAGTTAGAGACAATTCAATCCTATAAAATCCAATAAACATCATTAAGTGCCTTCTATGTGCAAAGTACTCTGCTAGGTGATGGACACATGAAGATGAGGAAGTGTTTGAGTTCAAGGAGTTTGTGTTAATTTGTATGTACATCTGTTTGCAAGTCAGTGTAGGGTGTGGCAGGGAAGGCAGAAAGGCCATGTCAGTATAATGTAGTGATGTGATGTAGGAAAGAACATTGTCTAAGGTACCAAAGGATCTGTCTTCAAATCTCATTTGCTGCTTACTACCTCCATGACCTTGGACTAGTCACTTTGCCTCCCTGGCTCTCATTTTTCTCATCTGTCAATTGAGAAGTTTCAACCAAATGAATTCTAAGACCTTTCCCGATTCTTAATCCTATGACTAAGGCATTAGGGAGACCTGGGTTCAAATCCTGCTTTAGACACTTTGTGCTCTTGGAGTAACTTACTCAATTGCTCTCAGCTTCAGTTTCATCATCTGTAAAATGGGGATAATAACCTACTTACTTACCTCTCAGTGTTGTTGTGGGGATCAAATGAAATAATATTTGTAAAGTGTTTTGCAAACTTGAAAGTGTTACATAAATGCTATATAATAATAATAATAATTATTATTATTATATAAATATTACTTAGCTCACCAGGTCATCGTGAGGATTAAGTGAAATAATATATAGAAAGAGCTTTGCAAATCTTAAAGTGCTTTATAAATTGCTATTATTATCATTATTAGCTTGTTATGAGATCACTTTCTAATATTTCAAGCTTAGAGAAATCAAAGTTATCATAGCTGCTAAATTCCTGGTGAGTTGGAGAGCTTGTAGTTATCAGGGAAATCACTGACTGAGGGGAAAAAAGAAGATGGCTACATTTGCAAATGGACCAATCACCTTTTTTTTCTTCTTTGCTATGAGGTGAGGTCAGATGTCAGAGAGCTTGATGCTACAAGGCAGAGACCTTCCCAAACACTCTGAAAGACAAGCACATCCCTTTCTTTAGCCAAAAGGCAAAATGGTAGGAAGAGAATCTTTTGGGCTTTGGCCAAGAGAGTCCTTTTCAAAGCTAGCGGGCCCTTTGAAAAGCAAGTAGCCAATTTAGAGTGTCTTCCAAGATGGAAGAATTTTTAAAATTATTTTTTTGTGAGGCAATTAAGGTTAAGTGACTTGCCCAGGGTCACACAGCTAATAATTGTCAAGTGTCTGAGGCCAGATTTGAACTCAGGAATTCTTAACCTAGGGATTATGAACTTAAATATTTTTGATAATGATATTTCAATATGATTGGAAAGCCTATGTATTTTGTTTTGTGAATTTAAAAGCATTATTTTGAGAGGAGGTTTTAGGCTTCGCTGAACTGCCTAAAGGGGGGGCATAACACACAAAAATTAAGGGACCCTTAACTAGAGGCTAGAGGGATTTTGCCTGCAAGGGCTTTTTTCAAGAGGCAGTCAGAGATAGTACAGTCATGATCAGAGGAAAAGGAAACTCAGGGCTGGGTCCTCCCCAATTTCACCTCTCATGGGGGAAGGAAACAATTCTGCCCAGCTACCAAGGGTCTCTGGGTCCAAGGCTAAGTTGCTAAATGACCTAGTTTGCTAGTCTATGAAATGGATGTTGGGTCAAGTGGAGAACAGATCAGATATGAGCATGAGCAATAGATGTGGAAAATGGTGACTCTAAGGGAGAGAAAAATCCCTTCATTTGGAAGTCTAAAGGAGGGAAACAGATGCTCCAAGAGATAAGAGGGAGACAGCATGGGGAGGGTTAGAGTGGCTTAATGGGAAAACATTGCATTTGGAGTCAGAAAACCTGGCTTTGAATCCTGGCTTTCCTATTTACTATGTGAGTCACCTTGGTTAAGTCACTTTCCTTCCTTGGGCCTCAGTTTTCCCATCAATAAGATCAGTTGATTGGGCTAGATGATCTCTAAGGTAAGGTCCCTTTAGCTCTAAAGGCACCTAGGTGGCATAGTGAGTAGAATATTGGATTTGAAGTCAGGAAGACCTGAGTTCAAATTTTGTCTCCAATGTTATTCGCTGTTTGTGACCCTGGGAATATCACTAAAACTTTAGTTTCCTCAATTTATAAAATCAGGATAAAGACAGCACCTACTTCACAGGGTTGTTGTGAGAATCAAATGAGATAATATATGTTTGGTAAACCTTAAAACATTTTGTAAATGCCAGCTAAGAGCAGGTAGGTGGCACAGTGGATAGAGCGCTGGGCCTGGAATCAGGAATATCTGAGTTCAAATCTGACCTCCAACATTTACTAGCTGAGTGACCCTGGGCAAGTCACTTAATCCTGTTTGCCTCAGTTTCCCCATCTGTAAAGTGAGCTGGAGAAGGAAACGGCAAACCCCTCCAGTATCTCTGCCAAGGAAACCCCCAATGGGGTCATGAAGAGTTGGACATGCCTGAAATGACTGAACAACAACAACAAAACACTAGCTATTACTGTTAGTGAGTGAGGAAGGGGAGGAAGAGCAGAAGGAGGAGGTGTTACCATCGTCCATCCAGATGACAGCCAGACCTTTTCTATGTGGCCCAAGAGCCTAGAACTAGAATTGGGAGAAAGACACAGGAAGCCTGTGAATGGCCATGAGAATTTCACTCATGATAAGGAAGAACTTTTTAACAATCACAGCTGCCAATCCCATGAGGAAATGAGTTGATTTGGAGGAGGGAGGATCTGTCTGGCTCTGGAAGTGTTCACAAACAGTTAGACTGGAAGCCTTTGGAAGCTACGAGATTTAGAACTAGAAGGAACCTTAGAGATTATCTCGGTCAAGGGCTCTCAACCTTTTGGCATCATGGACCTCTTTGGCAATCTGGTAAAGCCTATGGACTGTTTCTCTAAATGTTTTTTAAATGCATAAAATAAAGTACATAGTATTATAAAGAAAACCAATTCTATTAAAGTAAAAATAAAATCCTTTTCCCATCCAAGTTCACAGACCCCCTGAAATCCACTGTCTGTGCATCCCAGGTTAAGAACTCCTGCTCTAGTCCAACCCTGTCGTTTTGCAGATGAGATCCCTCCTAGGTACAATATTCTATGATCCTATGAAAGGAAGAGAGATGGGGAGGACGTGAAGAAGATGGGACCTTGAGAGGGATGATTCATTCTCTTCCCGTCCAACCCCCAGAAATCTAGCCATTGTTCTAATAGGTAGACCCAGCCCTAGCATTTACGGAGCCCCGCCCCCCCCAACTATTTATTCCCCATCCTTCAAGGCTCAGCTGAATGTTTACTTCTTTTATCAAGCCTCCTCTGCTGTTCCCAACCAGATGTAGTCTTCCTCTCCTCTGAAACCTTACAACCCTGGCTCAGTTCTTCTCTTGCACCACCTACATCATTCTTCCTCTGGATGAGATTTAGCTGTGGCAGTGTGTGTTATCTCCCCTCTAAACTGTGACTGCCCTGGGGGCACGTGCAGCTCAGCCATTTCAAAGTATGCCCAGCCCTCAACACCATTAAATACATAAATGAGAAAAAGAAACCTGAATACTTTTGCCTCCTTTTCTACCCCCACCCCAGCAAGTGATCTTTGGCTTCTTACTTTTTATGGAGCCCCTTGTCTGAATCTCTCCTTTAGCTCTATCTTGTATTATATTATTGTACGTGGAAAAATAGACTCCTACTAGAATGAGGGATTTGTTCCCCAGTAAGACTGGGGTGGGGTCAGGGTAAGTTTCTTAAGCACAAGCTCAGTTTCCTCATCTGAAAAATGAGGTTGGGTTAGATGTCCTTCAAGCTCTAGAGTCATGATGTCGTATGATAGTATGGTATTGTGTATGATTGCCGCCATTGCTAGTGTTCCATACCCCCACTGGACTCTGGGTCTAGTGGTATGGGTTAGGGTCCCATTTATATTTTATACCTCCCCCAGGACTTAGCACAGACTGTTGCCTTCAGTAGGTATTTTAATGTTTGCTGAGTTGAATTCAACCCAAGGGGGTCCTTGGGAAAGGAGAATCCATAAATAATGTTATTGGGTCTAAGGAGGTAGTGGAAGCTGGGCCCTCTCCAAAAGATGAAAGCTAGTGTCTAATACAGTAATAGAATCATAGAGTTTAGAAGAGCAGATTATAGGATCATTGAGCCCAAACCCCTTATTTTACAGAAGTGTAACTGAGGACCGAAAAAGTGAAGTGAGAATTTAGAATCAAGGGGGTGTTTGATCGAGGTGGTGGTGGGTAGTTCAGTGACAAGGGCTACTAACCTATAAGAGAGATGAGGAGACAAATCCCAACCACACCTTCCATTTCAATTCCTTCCCTCCAAAATAAGAGGAAAGATGTGTGTTAGTACAAGGAGTGGTAGTTCCATTCTATAGATGTGAAAATGGAGGCAGAGAGGAGGGACTTGTCCAAGATCACAGAGCTAGTGTCACTAAATGATTGCCTTCAGTACTTAGATCTAGGGGGGGGAGGGATGAGAAGGATGCTTCTGATAGACGTGAGTCTGGTCGGGGTGGGGGTGGAGAGAGGGATTTCAGATAGTCTAGGTTGGGTGGGGAAGGGGGAGAAGAAGAGATATCAACTGGTACAAGAGGGCGGGGATGGCATCTTAGCTAAACTTTATAGCTTTGAGCTCCCTCAGCTCCAAGCGTAGGATCCTTTTTGGTAAATGTTTGTTGAATGAATGAATGAATGAGTGAAAATGCCCCTTAACACCCTTCACTCCTTCTAGAGTATTAGTTTCTAAAGATTAGCTCAGACTATAGATGGAGCCATTCAGAAGGAAGAAAAAAAACATAATGAGGTGGAGGTAATTTTTTTTTTTTTTTAGGCAATTGGGGTTAAGCGACTTGCCCAGGGTCACACAGCTAGTAAGTGTAAAGTGTTTGGTCTGAGGCCGGATCTGAATTCAGGTCCTCCTGACTTCAGGGTCAGTGCTCTATCCACTGTGCCACCTAGCTGCCCTAGTAATTTTCTTGTAATTGGAATAATTGGTCACAGGGTCACAAGATTGGAAGTGGGAAGGGACCTTAAAGGCTACCCTTCAAAGAGAAGTGACTTTCTTCAAGTCATACATGGAACCAGTAAAAAGGATTCACAGCCAGGGCCCTTTCCACTATGTTTTGTTACCTCTCATGTAATTCTCTATCCCTTTTCCAGCTCTATCATCCTATGACTCTTGGAAGTTGCTGGAGCCCCAGGGTGGTGGTTCCCTCACCCATCTCCAGACTGGGGCTTTGTCCAACCAACACCTGGGCTATTCTGCTACATCAAGCCCTTGGTGCCAGGAATTCAAGATAATAACAGCCTTCTAGGTCCAGGACCTGGCACCTATCCTGCATGGATTTTGAAGCCCCTTTTGGCCTGTCATTAAGCAGGTATGGGAGGGGTTCTGTGCGTGTATTATGTGGCCATCATCTCTGGGTTCGTGTGGTGCCTGCCATGCTAGTCCTGGGGTAGGCATTATTCCCAGCTCCAATGAGTGATAGAAGGCACAGGGATGGTGAGTCACCCTCTTCAGGGGACCCAGCACCTAGAGGCGTAAACTGGTAAGACGGTTAGGATCACCAATCTTCATTGATGCCCACTTCCTGATCTTGTTGACTTAAAACCTGGTAGTATAATAGCTTTTGGGAACCTCAGGACTTAGTGACAGACGAAACCACGGATTTATGAAACAGGCCAAGATTAGGGAATGGAAAATTTAGGAGTAGAGGCCCTTCTCCATTCAAAACAACAAACATTTATTAAATAAACACCCAAGTCCTTGTCTCTCTGCTTTTTTTCCCTAGGTATGCAAAAAGAAAAAAAAAAGAGCATAGTTCCTGTCCTCAAGGGGCTTACAATCTACAAGTAGGGAGAGAAGACACAGACATGAGTAAGCAGTGAGGGAAGTGATGAGTACAAAGGAGGAACTCAGGAAAAGTACTAAAAGATACTGCAGGAAGGAGAGATCATTTCTACCTAGGAGAAAGTGGGAGAAAGGAGAGGATCAGGGAAGATTTATTTGAGAAAGTAGTACCTGAGCTGATTTCAACAAGTGGACCAGAGGCAGCTAGGTGGCACAGGGGATACAGCACTGGCCCTGGACTCAGGAGGACCTGAGTTCAAATCCAGCCTTAGACACATAGCACTTATTAGCTGTGTGACCCTGGGCAAGTCACATAACCCCATTGCCTAGTCAAAAAAAAAAAGACCCACTTCTCACATGGATCATCAGAAGTCAGAATTCTGGAATATTAGAGCTCTAAGATATCTTAGCACATTTATATAATTTGAAACATCAGGGCTGAAATACGTCTTAGAGATTATCCAATTCAACCCCTTCTTTTTACACATGGGGAAACTGAGGCCCAGAGAAAGAAAAAGAATCCTATTCTTCTGATTTTCAGAGTTCTTTCCACTACAGCAAGGTACTTTATTCACTATGTACATGATTGCTAATGGCTTAATGTGAGACCTCCTCTCTGGGAGCCTGGCATTTCAGCCGGGGACTGAGTCTCAAGCCAAAGGGATGAACCTCTAATGGTGGAATTGCAGACCCTATGATGGAGAAGGGAGAGAGAAAATTTGGAGTAGGGCATGGGGGTGAACACTTCTAGAGCGTCTTAGCCTCTCCTGTATTTAAATAGCACCTCTTCCAGATGAGGCTCAACAGATAAAATTCCATAGGAATCTAATTGCTTATGATTTCCCCAGGATACACTTAGGTTAGATGTCCCTGGCCTCAAGAAAATTTATTGTTATTCAGTCACTTTTTTCAGTTGTATCTGACTCTTCATGACTCCATTTGGGGTTTTCTTGCCAAAGATGCTGGAGTAGTTTGCCATTTTACAGATGAGGAAACTGAGTCAAACAGGGTTAAGTAACTTGCCAAGGATCACACAACTAGTAAGTATCTGAGGGTGGATTTGAACTCAGATCTTTCTGAGTGCCTGCACATAGAAGGCATTTAATAAATGTTTATTGACTGACCTGCTCACTATAGTTGTAAGGAAAGCTCTTCATGAACCCTCAAGGACTCTAAGATGGGAGCTAATATCATTTAAAATGTCATCCACACTCAATTTTGGGATCTACAGACTTTGTTTAATCTCTGACCCTTCCCCTTGCCCTGGGGCACATCTCAATATAGCACAACACCTCTTTCAGGGGTATAGAGAAGAGAAAGAATTTGCCAGAGACAGCCAATCCGGGGTTACTGAGTCTTATGAGAAAACTCTTCCGCCTCCAGGGAGTCTTCCCTGATGAGCCTCCTTATTTGCACCTGGATTGCTTCCCTACTCTGTTCTCTAGCAGGGTGTATTTAATTTCTACTAGTTTACTTAGTGATGCAATCAAGGATAAAAACAACAACAACAACAACAGTAGCTGACATTTATCTGATGCTTTGAAGTCGGCCAGGAGTTTTACATAACTTATCTCATTTAGGTCTCGGAATCCTCATATAATAACTTCTCCACAGATATTATTATCCCCCTTTTACAAATGAGGAAAATGAGGCTCACGGAGAAGCGGCTTGGCTGTAATCACATAGCCAGCATCAGAGGCAGGATGTGAATACGGATCTTCCTTATTCTGAGTGCTACATTCTTTGTGCATCTTTCCGAATATCAAAATACGTTGTGTGATTTTGAAGATGTGGTGGAATGGGAATGTTTCGGATTCGAGGTCAGGAGGACACAGGTTCGTATCCTAACTCTGACATTTACCTGCTGTGAGGCCATGGCCACCTCACCTAGCCTCAGTTATCACATAAGTAAAATGGGAATAAGAATAATTGTCCTGGATCCTTTCTAAGTTCAAATAAGGCAATGGCAGCAAAGGACTTGGGAGAGCTCGAGGGCTATGTAAGTGATGGCAATCAGTCTGGTGTCCCAAGACAATCCGAAACAGGTTCTGGTGTTTTTGCCCTGTCTGTCCTTCCAGGCAGTAACCTGTCAGTGGGGACCGCTCTCTGCTCAGACCAGAGAATCCCCAAGGACAGTGGCTCTATAGAATCATAGAATTTCTTCTTTCTTTTCTCAACTTCTGGTGCTCCTACTACAGGGCTCTGCCCACAGTAGCCCCTCATTCCACGTATATTAACCGTCTCTGGCCAGACATGGACTTCTGCCTTGGGTCCAGAGCACAGCCAGGAAGACGAGCTAGGACTTTGTGTCCTTTGCTTGGGATTTCTCCATTACAAGGCCATCACAAGTTATGCTAGCTCTATACCTAATGGGTGCAGTGGATGTAGCGCAGGGCCTGGAGTTAGGAAGTCCTGAGTTCAAATCCAGACCCAGACCCTTTACTAGCTGTGTGACCTTGGGGAAGTCACTGAACCTTTCTCTTTCTGCCTGCCCCGGTTTCCTCATCTGTGAAATCTACCTTGTAGGGTTGTTGTGAGGATAAAATGAGATAATATTTTAAAAGCTCCTTGTAAACTTTAAAGCATTCTATAAATGCCACTATGATTATGAGCTGGTTTGGAGGCTGGCCCAGGGCAGGGAAATAAGGAGGGAAAATTTTCTGAGCTTTCTTGGATGGGCGGGGGGAATTGAGCCCTTTGGGGCAGCCTTTTGCCTCATTAGAGGTTCTAGCCAGGTCTGACTTCCTAGCCCGTGTTCCCACCTGGGGGAAGGAGAAGTTAGAGGGAGGGCGGGCTGTGGGAATACTCACTTGCCCGGGTAATAAGACAGTACTTGTTTATTGGGGAGCATTCGACGGGAGCCCGGCAGCTCTCCGGCCCGCAGCACACGTGGCATTCTAGGGAGTGAGCTAGGGGAGCAAAGGAATGATGAGGAAGGTCAAATAGAGGATGGACAGCTGGGATTGGAGGGGTCAGGGTTTCCTTGAAGGATTATGGATGGAGCCTCTGCTGTATGGGAGCCTTTCATTGTGGGAGGGAGCATCGGGGCCCCACGCAGGGTAAACTGCCGCCTGATGTTCAGGGATGGGCCTAGCTGTCCTGCGTCTCTCTGCATGAGGAATGAGAAAAGAAGTGGAAAGAGCCGGAGTGATAAAAGTTCAAGATCACGTAGGCATAGAATCCTAGAGTCATAGAAACTTAAGAGTCTTATAATATCACAATATACACATGTACACACACACACACATATACACACATGTATACATAATTACACATACAGATAACACACATATATACACAAACACACACGTACACATGTACTTATAAACACACACAAGCACATAGCACACACATGCATGTACATAGCCACAAACATATACACATGCATATACATGTACACATATATACACATACACACACACATACACTCATGCATATACACATACACATGTATATATATATACTTACATGTACACGCTACATATACATATACACCTAAACACACATATATACACACACAGGCACTCATAACATATATAAACACATAACATACATATACATAGTCACAAACATGTACATATACATATACACATGGATGCACATATACAGATCGTTGAAATCTGCCTCCTGGTGATTTTTCCTCTTGCTCCTAGTTCTGCTACCCTCTGGGGGTCACATAGAGAAAGGCCACTGTTCCCTATGACATGTCCTCAAATATTTGCAGACCTTAATCATGTTCCCCTCCTTCTATTCATCTCTGCTTTCCTCACATAAAGTCCCAGAATATCTGAGCTGGAAGGGACCTTAAAGGTCATCTCTAGTCTAACAGCTTCATTTTACAGATGAGGAAACTGAGGCAGAGAGGGGTGGAGGGACTTGCTGGAAGCCACAGAACTAGTCTGAGGCAGAGCCAGGCCTTGAGCCCATTTTTCTGACTCAAGAACTAATGGTCTTTTCATCATACCACACTGCAAACTGAGGCCCAGAAGAAGGAAAACTTGCCCAAGGCAAAGAGCTAGAAATAATACCATTAACTCACATTTTTCTAGTGCTTTGAAGTTTGCAAAGTGTTTTTCTTACTGCAGTCCTATGAAGTTGAGAATGGAATCATCACTAGCCACATTTTACAGATGAGGGAACTGAGGCTCACGGTGGCAGGAACTTGTCCAGCACCATAGAACTAGTAAGTGGCAGAACCAGGATTTGAATACAGACCTTCCACCTCCACATTTAGGCCTCTTTCCACACTGCCTTGGAGGTACCGCTAGGAAGATTGTAAGAATATGGTATATCTCCCATCATCTTGGGGATGAAATAAGTAGGTAGCATTCCAGAAAGTCCTCAAAAGGCCCCACAAATCTAATCTAATTGCTATTCATTCATTCAAAAAATACTTACTGAGCATGGACCATGTGCCAGGCTCTGGCCTTGGCACAGAGGGGTGAGCAGAGATGAATAAGAAACAGCCCCTCTCTTCATGAAGCTTATATTCTCAAAGGGATTCCAGCATGGACACAGGTCACTACAGTACCAGGTAGGGCTTGAAAGGGCCATAGGAGAGGGGCAGAAGTGAGGGTGCAGACATCCTTGGGAAGGGAATGGGGGAAATTCTGCGTGAGTAAATCAAGGAAGATTTCATGAGGAGAAGTGGCATTTGACATGAGTAGTCACTGAGATAGGTGGAATAATATTCACCTTAGGTCAGTCTGTTTAAGGGGTTGTAAAATGAGCCCAAACTGATGGCAGGGTGGGTGTCAAAACCGCAAACAACCTGAGACCTCTCAGCTTCCCAGTCATCTCCCAACACCCTTTCTCATCTCTACTGCAGGCTCCCACCCAGGCTTTCCCCAGGAGAGTGCTTCCCTAATCCAGAATTAATGTTCCCCCTCCCCAAAACATTAACAACAATGAAACAACTAACCTATTTCATTAGGGAAATGCTCTTAGCTGGCTTAGGAGATGAGAACCCAACAAAGTGTGAATGACTGACAACCTTTGATAATGACTGATAACAGTGTGGTACCAGTGAAGAAGGAACCTATTAGATTAAGAACCATCATGCAGAGCTTTCAGTCCCAGCTCCAAAAATGATTCATCCCCGCCAAGTGACCATCCTGCTCTAGTCCTTGGTTCCTAACTCGTATAATGGTGATGATAATAATACAGGCACTTTATTCTACAAGAGCTATTGTAAGAGTCAAATGAGCTTTATCCATCTGCAGAAATGCAATTCAACACTCATTTACTAAATGCCTGCTACATGCAGTCCAAGTCAACAGACATTTATTGGGAGCCCTAACTAGTACCAGGCACTGTTTGAGGTGCTAGATAATAATAGCTCATCTTTCTATAGCCCTTCGAAATTTACAAAGTACTTTGCTGGCAACAATCATATGAAGCAGCAAGTTTGAGTATTGTGAATCCCATTTTACAGATGGGGAAATGAAAGCTCAGAGAAGGGGATTGACTTGTCCAAGTAATAAGTTTCAGAGCTGAGACAGGAGCTCAGGTCTCACAGGCTAAGGGATGTGATCACTACTTTTGCATGATACCTCTCCCAGGGGGACTTGCTTTTTAAAAGGGTAGCTGATTAATCCGACAAAATGAGTCTGTAAAAGTGGAATTTCAGGGGAGTTGTCTTTGGGTAAAATTAGCCTTTCATAGAACCCTTCAACTGTTGTTTAATGGATTAGTCATGTCCAACTCTTCATGACCCCATTTGGGGTTTTCTTGGCAAAGATACTGGAGTAGTTTGCCATTTCCTTCTCCAGCTCATTTTACAGATGAGGAAATTGAGGCAAACAGGGGTTAAGGGACTTGCCCAGGATCACTCAGCTAGTAAGTGTCTGAGATCGGATTTAAACACAGGTGCTCCTGATCACAGGTCTAGAGCTCTATCCACTGCACCACCTAGCTGCCCCAGAACCCTTCAGGTTATACCATAAAACAATCCTGGATAGAGATCATGTAGTTGTCAAGAGGCTTGAAATTGTGCATAGGAGACCAGGTTTCTATACCTGGCTGCCTATGTGTTCTTGGGCATCACGTCCCCTGTCTGGGTATATCCGGCTCAAAATCCTGTGATCCCATGACCTGAGTTCAAATTCTGTCTTTGTTACTTATTAGCTTGAGCAAGTCACTTCCCCACCTTTGAGACTTTGTTTTCCCATCTGTAAAATGCATATGAAAATACAAAAACTCCTTACATCAAAAACCTATAATGAAGAAATTCTATAGGAATGTGAACTATTATTACCTTTTAAAAAGGGCAAATAATATATATATATACATATACTATATGCACACACAAATATGCATATATGTATATATGCATGTGTGTATATTTGTGTATATGCATGTGTATATATGCATGTATAAATATATGTGTATATATGCATGTATGTACATATATGTGTACATATAAAATTATATATGTGTGTATATATGTATGTATATGAGTAAAATTATATATATGCATATATATAAAACTAGGGAGAAATGGGCTTAATTTCAGTAAATGTCACATAAAGGATGACTCCAAATGAATACAAACCCACTCTATCTCTAACCCCCAGATACAGAAAGATTTTAAGTACAGGTCTCAGAAATACAATATGGGTTCCCTAAATAAACTATCCCCAATTCGATCGACTATCTCTCCATCCCCAGAATTTCCCTGGGGTCTTATCCCATCCTTCTTCTGTCTATCCTTCCCTCCCCCACCACCACCAGAGAAACCTGAGTAGGTAGGGAGTCAACCTTACCAAAATTCACATATAGCGCAGCCAACAGAAACAAGGCAGGCAGACAGAGCTTCATCATGGGGGCGAGTCCTCAGTAGGGCTGGAGACTGGAGGAGGGCGCCTTGCAGGCGCCTTTATATGGCCTTGTCCCAATACAGCTTGAGGGCTTCCAGGGCCCTGATAATTGAGCTAGCCAATTAGCCCGGGAAAAACAGCAGCCTGAGTCATTAGCTGGGGCCTGCCCACCCCTCACTTGGGGGCCCTCTCTTTTCCTCCTCTGTGAGATGGGCTCGCTCCCAGTTCTCTCAGGGGTCCTCAGGATCCTAGGACTTAGAGCTGGAGGGATGTTAGAGATCATCCATTCTGAGTTTCCTCTTTTGGCAGATGTGGAAACTGAGTCTCAGAAAGGGTTGCCCAAGGTCAAAAAGAAAGCAAAGGGCAGAGTTAGAATTTAACACTCTCCCCATCCCCCCATTTCCAAATCCTTAGTCCTCTTAGGATCATGGCTCCAGAGCTGGCCCTCAGAGACCATCTGGTCACCCCCTTATTTTACAAAAGAGGAAGCTGAGGTCCAAAGAAGTTAAATGAGTTGTCCAAAGTCCCACAGGCAGTAAGTTTCACAGGCAGAATTTGAACTCATGTCCTGTGTTTCTAAAGCCAGTGTTCTTTCCACTGAAAGTTGCCTTTAACCCCATGGCTAAAGATAACTTTCTGCCTCCTGCCCCTTCTCCTCTTCCCATCCCAGACTCTTAAATTGCCTTCCATTTACATATATATATATATATATATATATATATATACACACATACATATATATATAATATTTTGTATATGCATAGCTGCTGTTCACATGTTGCCCCCCCATTAGAATGGGAGCTCTTTGAAATCAGAGACTCTATTTTTGCCTTTACTTGTACCCCTAGTACTTAACCCAGTGCGTGGCACATAGTAATCACTTAATAAGTGCTTGTTAATTCTTGTTGTTTTGGGGGTTCTCATTATTTATTTTTAAAATGCAAAAGAGATGTCAAATTGAACAGGCAAGAGAGCAGGAACCTTGAAAATAGCTTAAAACACTAATTGAAAATCTTAAGGTGCTGCCCCTTCCCATTCCTCAAGGAATGGGCAGTAGAAATGAAAAGGGCTTGGCATCATGCTCTTATGTATCCCCTGACAGGCCTTCAAATTCTTGAAGACAATGATTGTCTCCCCGACAAGGTCTTCTTTGGTTTGTTACAAGGATGAGTCTTCCAATGTCAGAGCTGTTCCTCCATGACAGGCTGCCTTCTGATGTAGTGAGTGAGCTCCCCATTACTGAAAGTGTACAGCATTGTGGTGCAGAAGATAGGCCCTTGGGATGATGGGATCCTAGGTTTAAAATGAGAAGGGATCTCAAGAACATTTTACCCAAATTCCTAATTTTACGTATGAGGAACTGTGGCCTAGAGAAATTAAGTAACTTACTGATGGTGACACTTGGTGGTAAGTAGCAGTCAGGATTTGAACTCAGACCCTCTGACTCCTTTCCAGTAGAGCATTGTACTTTTATATCATCAGAGGATCTAGGCTCCAACACTAGCTGTATGAACTTGGAGCCTCTTTTTTCCTCATCTTCAAAATGAGGCGGTCAGAACAGTAGTCTTCTGTTGGGGAATTCTTTGACTCAGGAAAGGCATCACAGACAGAGGGGATCTATCTATGGGTCAGAGACAGGAGGTCAGACTGAAAGTAAAGAGATTTATTAGCCTGCTAAGGAATCTGTTCTCACCGATAGTAGATTCAGATTCCTGGAATACAGATTGAATTTTCCCAGGCCCAGTGAAAGACTTAGAGTTTTTGTCATCCGTCCTTCATTTTCGAAGAGGACCAGTGACATGTGATGTCTTGACTCATGGGTGAATTGGATTGAAGAGAGGCAGAGATGCACAAAACTGTTGACCTCACTCTCTCTTCCAGAGTCAGAGTCCAGTGGAAGGACAGAAGTCAGGATGACTGGTAATGGCCCAGGATGTAGTGGATGACCTTGGCATCTTCAATGTCTGACCAAGCTCTAAGCACTTCACAGCACCTGCTTCAGCCGCCTTCACAGACATTGAAATAAATTGTCCTCATCTGCCCATCCTTCACATTCTGGTGTAAACATCCCCTAAAGTCAGTGACAGGTTTAATGCCTCTCAGTTACCCTCACCCTAGTTTTGTCTGTCTGCCAAGACAGTTTACTAGAGTGTGGCTGCAGCACATGTGACAGCTTCTTGGAGCCATAGGTGAGAGCTGAGTGGTGGGTGGTCACCAAAGGTGGGTGAGCAGCCCTCACACAAAGGCACTAGTCCTCTCTGAACACCCTATTAGGATATGCATCCAATCAGCAACATTCCGAGGTAGCTTAGGATAGAAAAATAAAATATTTCACAGGAGAGGAATGAATGAAGAAAGAAGGGAATGAGTCAAGGAAGAAAAGGGGAATATTTGGAATGCAACTGGCTGTTTTTTATTAGAATAACAACATGTTCCCTCTTCTAGGTAAGGAGACAAGGGAAAGAGACCAAATACTTCTACTGCTATGAAAGAAGTCCTTTTAAACAAAACTGCAAGGTCTCATCTAAAGACTGCGAGTAGGTATTACAATAGTGGTTGAGACCGTCTGCTTTGCTAAGTCCTTGTCTGAGAGCTTGGAGACTTTCTGATATCAGAAATATCAGATACCAGATAGCCAGGCACGTAGTTTGGGACAGGAAATCATAGCGATAGGAGGACAATGGAGTGGGTACCCAGCTATAAAAATGCTTAGAATGTTAGGCAGCCCCTTATAATCTTTAATTAGTCCTTGCAGACATCAATGCAGGATGAGGCCTATATAAGTTTAGTTTTATAGCTGATGAAGCTGACAAGTTTCACAAACACAGCCTAGAGCCTTGGACGATGGACCAGGCATCTTCCCCAGGTCCCTTCCAATTCTAGATTCGACGACCGGCGTTCCGCAAGCCTATGATTCAAAAATTCCACTTCCATGAATCAAGTTACATGCTTCTAGTTCTGATTCTGTGATGCTGGTTCTGAGTCTAATTCTGTGAATCTCTCTCCTCTAATCCATCCTCCACTCAGCTGATCTTTCTAAACACATCTGATATGTCACCCCCTTTCTCAAAAAACTCCAGTTGCTCCCTGTCAGCGCTAGGATAAAAAATAAAATCCTCTGTTTGGCATCCAAAGCCCTTCACAACCTGTCTCCTCCACCTTTCTTGTCTTCTTTTACATCTTAAATCCCCCAATGCACACATATTCTTTTTTTTCTTTTTTTTGGTGAGGCAATTGGGGTTAAGCCACTTGCCCAGGGTCACACAGCTGATGAGTGTCAAGTGTCTGAGGCCAGATTTGAACTCAGGTCCTGCCCATATATTCTTTGATCCGATGACACTGGATCCCTTGCTGTTCCACAAACAAAATACTCCATCTCTTGGCTCTGGACAAGTTTTTTCTTTTGGCTGTTTCCCATGCCCGGAATGCTCTCCCTCTGCATTTCTGCCTCCTGGCTTCTTTTAAGTGTCAGTTAAAATCCCACTTTCTATAGGAAGTTTTCCCAACTTCTCTTAATTCTAGTGTCTTCTTTCTTTTATTTCCTATTTATTCTATATATAACTTGTTTATACATTTTTCTTTATTATCTCTCCCAATAGATTATGGGCTTCTTGAAGGCAGGGGCTATGTTTTACCTTTTTTTTTTTTGTATCAACAGTGCTTAGTATAGTGCCTTGCATAGAGTAGGCACTTAATTAAATCTTTATTCAGTGGCTGACTGAATCTAGTTCTGATTTTGGATTGATAATTCTAATTCTATGTCTCTGGTCCTATAAGTCTAGTGATTCTAATTCCATGATTTATTTCTGTGGGGGATTTCTGCATTAATTTGGGTTGATTTCATATCTATAGTTTTAATTCCGTGGTTTTATATTATAGTTCTATGAGTTTCATGCTGATTTTTGATCTCTGAACCTAATTCTACAATTCTGATTCTATGATGCCAATCTATGAACCTACGATTCTATGATTCTATTCTATGATTGTGATTCTCTGATTTGAGTTCTCTGATTCTGGTTCTATGAATCTAGTTTTGACTTTGAATCTATGACTGATTACATTATCAAATTCTAACATTTTGTTTCCATGAGTAATGATAGCTTTTATATCAATGATCCTGACTCTATGACTTTGGTTCTATGATTCTGATTCTGAATCTAGTGCTGATTTTGGATGTGTGGGTCTGATTCCAGGATTCTAGTTATATTCTATCATTTTGGACACTCCAGTGGTACTTGATAGCAGAGCGATGGCTTACTAACCACTCCCAAGACCAAGCTCAGATACTTGGCCTTTAGGATGTCTCGTCTCTCTTACAGTTTATGCTAAGTTAGACTGTCTTGAGCATAACTTTGCAGGGGAAGAAGGTCTTAATGTTGCCCTGACCTGATGACAGACCCAATGAACACTACCACTGGCCCCAGAATGACCCTTAATCCCAGCCACAGCCTAAATTCAAGCCTATTAACTAATCTCATCACAAAAACCTGTGAAATAAGCAGGGCAGAGATTATTATCCCAATTTTATAGATGAGGAAATTGAAGATACCTCTGACCAGTCCCCTAAATTCATATAATCATTAAATTACAGAGCCAGGAAGAACCTTAGAAATGAAAAAGTCCAAACCCCTCATTTTACAAAGAAGTAAACAGAGGCCCGGAGAACTAAGGTGATGTGCTCAAGGTCACAGTGACAGATATAAGACTCAAAGCCGTGTCTTCTGAATCCAGTGCCAGTACTCTTTTCAAAACACCTGAGAGTTCTGAGACTCAGAATGGACTGAAGGCATGTTGCAGCAGTCAGTTCCAGAGGGCAGTGCTTCGGGGAGAGTGGGATACATATGACATGGCCCCATTCGCTTCAGAAGTTCGCAAGTCTAGTACAAAGTCATGCTTCTCTCCAGAATCTGGGACACCTTAGGTGTTCCCCCCCTCCAAGGCAATCAAGTTAAATGACTTGTCCAGAGTCACACTGCTAGTGAGTATCATGTGTCCGAGGTC